TCAGGGTACTGCAAACTCACAGATCGAAGCTCGAACAACCTCTGGCTGATCTAAGTCAGGACACGACCAATCAACCAACTTTTTTTGCGGAGGGAGGAAAACCGGAGAACCCAGAGATAAACCCTTGAATCAAGAGAGAGACATTACAAACTCTACTTACACGTTATGCTGAGCCATAGTAATCTGTCACCCTTGATTACTTGAAGGAGAAGTCAGTGTTATCTTTATTTTAATTTCACCAGGTGAAGTTGAGAGACCAAAGAAAGTCTCCGTCAAATCACACATCGGAATGAGCGACCATAAAGAAAAGAATACCCCAAAACACGAGACGAGGCAAGACAGACCTGTACCCGCTCCGCGAACACCGACACGTAATTCTCCAGATATTGTACAACGAGTAACTCAACCCTCCAGACATTACCCTAGATCACCACAACCAAGCCCAAGGGGTCATAAAAAAGAGGACCTCTCAGAGAAGGCACGTAATCCAAGAGCACATGGTGTACCCACATCTGCAGCGATCCCTGTAACTATCCCTTCAAGAGGAAGGACATCAGGGGGGACTACACCAACAGAGTCTCCTCGGGAGAGCCTGAGTGGGTATCACGTGAGGTCTAGTTCCGGGGGATCATCGGCCTCGAGTCTGTCGAGTTTCGGGACACGGGACGAGAATCAGAACATGCCAAACGTGACAAGAAAAGAGAGCGACTCGTACAGGAATGATGGGACTAGATGGGTGGAGGTTAATGGATCAGGGATGGTTGAATCTATCGATGGGCTGTCTGTGTTGCCTGAGAATGATAAAGAATCTATAGGAATCAAAGTAAGTGTCATAACAACCAGCACTTACTGTGGGAAGGGGGGCTAGGGTGTCGACTACCCCTACCCCTCCTCCACACAAACGCACTTCCTCCCAACAGACAAACATTTACTGTCAAAAGCTTCTTTGCATGTGCATTATTTTTACTTCGACTTGTCTCTATCCCTCGTAGTCATAGCTTTCAATAACCAATAGAGACAAAGGACTGTTAGAGGTAGGAGTAACGGGCAAAACCAGGTTAACACCTTTGATCCCCTTAGGCGGGCTTCCTGTGGTATCTCCACAAACGAATCTTTTTTCTTGCAGACTAAAGATAAACACAGGGAAACTCGCGCATCAGACAAAGTTAAGTTCATGAGTCATCTACAACGAAACGACTTACACAGATCAGACCTGCCTGATGACGTAGAAACCGGAAGTAGTTCTGACCGTAAGTTAGAGGGCATGCGTGATGGCGATGATCCACAAGATGACGTGTTTATTGTTGAACTCGAAAAGAAAACTTCCGGGATAGGACTGGGACTGATTGATGGACTGGTAAGCAAATTAACCAATCAAAATACAGATTTGAATCACGTAATGGCACTAGTCATGGCCTCCATTTTGAATAATCTATTTGCTTGATTAAACTACTTGTGTGAGTTGAGTTTGTTTGATGTGTGGCTCTCTTCTTTGCCACAAGAATTTTTCTCCTGGTTCTCCGGCTTTCCTCCATAAATTTCAAAATATGAGTGGAATTTTGTGTACCGAAAATAGTGCTAGAATGTATTGATAGCGTGTTAGGAGTTTGTATATTAAATATTGAATATGGCGATGAAAAATATACGATTACCCAAGATGGCGGCTATAATGACGTCATTTTTGCAAGAGACCTTTTAGTCCAATAGATCGAGGAAGCACGGCAGAAAAAAATTTGCTTATTGGTCAGTTCCTGTAGTACATAATGTAATTGATTGGTCTTCCTGTGGTATGGACGCGCATGCGGTTTTCTTCAAAGTCGCGCGGGCTCATAAGTAAACAAATATGGCCCGGATGAAATAAATGTACACCGCCATCTTTGATATTTACTTGAGCCCACGCTATTTTTCGCGGAAATATACCACAGGAAGACCAATCAACAAATTTATGTCTGCCCTGCTCCCTTGAATAGATATCTGAGTCTTTCTTGGTATTGTTTGCAGTACACTCCCTTGAGATCGCCAGGGATCTATGTACGAACACTACTTCAAGGTGGCGCAGCTGAAAAAGTACGTTTAACGATCATTTTAATATTCATTATCTTTTACCCTAGCTGTAGTAATCTCATCCCATCTTCCTGTGAAAGAGATACATGTGTAAGACATGTCTTTGTGTTATATTTTAGGATGGTCGCCTTAGATTAGGGGATCGCATTCTAGCTGTAAATGGGACAAGCCTTGTGGGCGCTGATTACCAGAGGTAAAGCTTGCATCTTCCTTTTTTTCATTTTTTCACTTTTCATTTACTCAATTCTGAGTAACGCAATTCTGAGTAACGCAATTCTAAGTAACGCCATTTGCCATTTCTTTCATGTCTTTTATGCCTCTTCCCATAATTTTCATCCCATATTTTCATTTCCATCTTATTTCTTCCCACATTTTATTTCTTCCTAGTGCCATGCAAGAGATCCGCGAGGCAGGTGATCAATTATCATTCCTCGTTGCTAAGTCTGACATCCACGTTGCTATGAAGATCACTGCATCAAGTTGCTGATCTACTCAGTCTCATGTTGATGATGTGGGTCAGCAACTGTTTTCCCGCCAAAATATCGGCGCGGTTTCCCGGCAAAACTTGACGTCACATTACGTCACGAATGCGATACAAATGAAGCAAAACAGCCAATGACATGATGGCTATTATAAACCTATAAACACCGAAGACCTGAACTAAAAATAGAGCATTAATAAAATTTAGGCTGTCGTGCCTAAAACTGAATTTTTTGTAAAATTTTGCTGACTCTTTTTGGATTGAGTAGAAAGATAGTACTTAAAACAAATTAGAAACCGTAGATCATTAGGAATAGAATCCGTATTTTATTTCAGCAATAGCAAAATTTAGCTACGAAACAGTCAAAGGTTTTGCTGGTGAAATGATTCATAATGATAGTATTTTTAGTCATACATTTATTGATAAATACAGCATATTTATTAAGGTTTTTATGATTTAATGTCATTTTTATGGCTTAAATAAAGCGCGAATCTTTTACAACACATGGGTGTTATGTGGTATTTTGGTAAAACTAAATGTGCGGTAATCGACGGGCAACAAAATCGCGCGACATCATGTGGCCTTTGGAGAGCAAACGTTGCTCGTAACCCTTTCTACACAGTGTCCAATTCCGTAGCCTCAGTTGATTGAATGAGGAATTTTTTTAAGCGTTTATTATTGGTTTTAAGCGGAAGCTATTTCCCCTATTTTAGTGTCGAAATAACTCATTCTGTAACATCTGGATTGAATGTTGGAAGTCTTTAAGTGCATGGGCATTGTTCGCGCCCATCCTTTCTACGCATGAATTTTGTGAGCCTGAACTCATCGCGATGACGTCATTAATATATTTTGATAAGCAAAATATCATGAAAACGTCTTTAATCTCTTATAGCTCTATTTTGTTTTTTGAAATTACTTAATAATATACAACTTTGGGGGGGGGTTTTTTTAATCTGACTATGGGATCAAATCGAAATTACATATTTTGTGCATAATTGAAATAGAATTTCACGTAACGTGAAGGCTTCCAGTCCACATTTGTAGCCAAATAACATTTTATATTTCTAACTTTAAAAACAAATTTTAAAAGCTAGAGTGCAAGCAGTTAGAGTGCACGCACTAAATCCGTGAACATTAATTAGTACTAATTAGTACTATTTCATACAGAATCCTTTGTTTTCTATTGTTTATTTATCACCATTTAGTACTAAAAGTTAATATTTGTTTCACGGGTAAGTGCGTGCACTCTAATCTGTGAAACACTAATTACTAAATAGTACAAAATTAGAAACAATGGAACTTTGCATGAAATTGTGCTATATAGGCCCCGTCCACGCGTATCCGGAAATTTTTGTATCCGCAAATTATTTTTTGCGGATACGAAAATGTTTGCGTCCACACGCAGCGTATTTGAATCGTTTTCACCGTCCACACGTATCCGTATTCGTAAAATTTGCGGATACGGACACAAAAATTTGCGGACACGTGTGGACGCAACCCGTATCCGCAAAAAAAAATTTGCGGATGCACAAATTTCCGGATACGTGTGGACGGGGCCTAAAAGTTTCACGGTTATATTGTTTGCACACTAACTAGTTATTTAGTTATTATCTAGAGTTCTGAGGGAAATGGGGGCGATCAATTTATTTTTTCAGTAAAATATGCCTTATTTTTTACAGCTTTCCATGTCATCGTTATTCACGTGAATTCCACGCATTCTGGCGGCTAAACAATGTCGGGGACCCCCATTTTTTATTTCCTCATTTTACTTCAAGTATGATGTAGTTTCATCATGCAAAATGTAAAAAAAATCTGACGATGGGAATTTTTGCCCATGAACGTCCTTAAGTGTTTTTTTTTTTTATTGGTCTTATTAAGCGGAAGCCACTTGAGTGCTGCTTATCTTTCTTCAGATCTTGCCACATCATAAGGGTAATAAAAGCCACTCATACGTGTTATCATTCTCTAGCAAAAATAAACAGAATTCCCAAATTTAGTTTCTCGTTAACATCAGTAAACACTAACTAACTTTTGAAAATCAGTATCAGGAAAAGTTATCAAATCATTCCAGTTCGATAAATACTAACGTGATCAGGTCTTCGACATGGTCTAATTTCATCGTTTTACCATCTCAACCTTTGATCAAATTTCTAGTTACTTTTGCTTTTATAGTATCAATAAATCATTATTAGATTGAAAGGTTACCGTCGAATCTGGTCGAATTCCCACGCTTTTTATAATAACCACTCCTCAGTTGCCTAAAAAAGCTCTTAAACTTTTGTTTCCTAACTTCTTTTACCTTAATTAAGATGAGAGAGAGTTCGCTAGAGTGTAAATAATTAATCCGTGAAACACTAGTTACTAAATAGTACAAAATAGTGCTAGTTAAGCAATAGAAAACAATGGACTTTGCACGAAATTGTGTTATTTAGTATTACTAAAGTTTCACGGTTTTATTGTTTGCACTCTAGTTTCCCCCATGCCGACTGTTCTTTTAGGACTTTACTAAGAGTCTCTTTACACAACCGTAGCTTTGTCTTCAAATAGAGAAATAAAACAAAGGTTTCGCCGTGTTTCATGCTGTCCCGGTGAAGCTCTCTTAGCAAGATAGTTCCACGAAAAGATCAAACTACTTTCACCGAAGATTTCCAAGTGATTGGAACTTGTGTGGTTATATATAGACATGTTTTAATTGGCAATTGCACCCCACTTATTGAGCATGACTAAGCTAAAACGTTTCTCGTGCGCATGCACAAGGTAATCGCACGAATTCATGTCAAAACGAGTTTTAACAGTTAAATCAAATGCTAAAAAGATTTTAAAAATTACCAATTTTGGGCAGAAGAATGATCGAGAGTTAATGATAGATGAAACTCGAACAATTTGGGGTTTTCTATTTAACGCTCATATTTCATATTTTTAATGTATCCGGTGTTTTTGTTATACTCTCGTGCAGTGGGCGTTGAAAACGGATCTCGAAGTGAAAGTGCGGCGAGATTCAACTGAAGACTAGAATCACTGAAGATCTACGAAAATGGACTCCGTCAACTCATCGAAAAGTCAAGTCTGCCCGAGTGACTTCCCAATTTCTTTCTCCAAAGTGCAGTACCAATCTTCTACCATCAACGACAGCGCGATTTTCTTCGTCATTCTGTTTAATGTTATCATCTGTCCTTTTGCCATTACTTTCAACACTGCAATGTTGACCGTCATCATTCGAGATCCAAATCTGCTATCCTTAAAGAATACCTCCATTCTGTTTCTAACTGTTGCAGATTTACTAGTTTCTACATTTGGCCAAATAAGTTTTATAGCCAACGAGCTCGGAATTCTTATTCACGGTCGCCTCCAGTGTTCCGCAGTGTTCGCAACCAACCTCTACACGGAGCTATTTACCATTGGTTTGTCATTTTTTACCCTGAAAGTCATGACACTTGAACGGTTTCTGGCGATATTTTGTCCCTATTGGTTTCATAGATGGGCAACAAAGCGACGAGTTTGCTTTGCTTATGCACTGACATGGGTCTCGTGGACAAGCTATATCACCGTCGTTAAGTTTTCACCAGAAATCCCGGAGTCTACCTATACTAGCGTTCTCACTGGTTTTATCTTCACAAACCTTTTATTCACGCTGTCTGTGTATTCTAAGATTAACAGGTTACGCAAACAAGCGCATGTTACTCCCAATATTAACCAGCACAAAACAGCAGAAGAAATTGCACAGAGAAGAGCCTCAAGAACAGTTGTTTATATTAATGCTGCATTGTTTATAAGCTATTTTCCAACTTTTCTCGTGGGTATTCTTCACTATAGCAAGATAGTGACCGATGATGTCCTCATATATCACGTGTTATACCCACTAGCACAAACTGTTTCATTCAAGTCAGCGGTAGTCGACCCTATTATCTATGCGTGGCGCACCTCTGAGATAAGAGAATCTTTAAGAAGATTGCTTAGGAAGAAAGGGCTATCGCGTAACAACAGATCGGTTCAGAGCAGGGTAGGGTAGGGTAGGGTAAGGTAGGATACACGCGCAATTGTCCAGCACGATATGGTCTCATAATTTGGCCCCGAAATGTTGGAATGTCGAAGAGTACAACGCGCTGGTTGTCCGTCAATGCCAGATACTTTGATCATCGGGAAGGGGAGGGGGGGGAGTGCTGACCCCTCCCTTTTCGTTACATATACTCTTCTTCCACATCCCCACACCTGTATACACCAAGCTACCTTTGTATCTATATACATCCTTGTAAAATATATCAACAAAGGTTTAATAAAAGATTAATCCAAAAAGAAATGCGTCAAAATCAATGTCGTTTCCGGTTCAAAGAACCCTTGGAGATAAGAGTCTGGGTACTAGTGTATTCCGCTGACCATGGTTGGGCGGAAGCAGATTGTTCATCCACCGCGATGCTGCTCTCTTGGAGTAAAAAGATCTTTGAAAACCCGCTGAAAAAACCTCCAATTTTACCCCCTAATAACCCCAAAACCACCACAAAACTTACCGGTAAGTCAAGATAGATATCTAAACTCCTAAATGAGCTGGAAAACGAGTCTCGAACTCGGTTTCTTTGCTTGTTTATGCAGATTATTCCAGATGGAAATTTTGGCATTTTGAAGTCTTAGCTTCTTGAAAGCGTGTAATTCAATCATGCAACTCGAAAATGTCCTTATTTTCATCCATTATGGGTTTTTATTATAAATAGTGCACCCCTTTATTAGTTAGTTGCGTTTGGTTTAGTTAGTGACGTCGTAAGGGTAGTTTTTAAGGTGTTTTTATTGACCACGTGTTACGTGGAGCTGGAGATAATTTCTGACATGGATGCGAACACTCAAGGGATCAGACTATCCTTCCAACCTTCAATAAAACTACCTTTTTTCACCTTAGAATAATTCTAATACCATGGAAAGTGGAAATCGAGATCTTATGGATATCTTACTACGGGGAGAAGCCAACGAAAGTAACGCACAATCCGCCATTGAGGTGAGAATTCGGTTCAAAATCCTCCAAAGTTCTAATATTCTTACTTATGCAACATTTAAAAAGTGATCTATGTATTTATTTTGTGTCGTATTTTAATCCAGATCGCTTGTGTATTATCCTATGTTATTCTTCCATCTATTTAAAGTAGAATCCATCGGCTTCAAGGTCTTTCGATTTCTGAAATACAGAGAAATCATATTGAATGTGTTATCTGTATTTTGAGATGGAAAAGACCTCACCATTGTTTATATAATATGTTTATTTGAACATTGATTGAAGGGCAGACAGTTTCAATAACTATTGGTCACCAAAAGACATTGTTTGAATGTTCTTATTAATCATAATAAGTCCAGTTTACTAATTTGGCATTATTTGGGTAAAGATTGGAGTAAATGTTTTAAAATTCAACAAGGAATTTGTCACAGATGGTTTCACAAAATTTAGTTCATTCATAAATTTTGTCTGAAATAACTTTTTACTAAAAAAAATAATTTCTAAAACTAGATTTCTTTTTCAAGTTTATAAAGTTCATTCATTTTCTTCTTTCACTTTCATTTCTTTTTAAAGTATACACCTTTTTAAAACAATTCCTGAAATGAAATTGTAATAATATTTCATTAGGGCCCAGTTGTACGAAGGGCAAATAGCGCTAACCAATGGATAAATCCTTATCCATTGGATAAGTCGATGCTGTTATCCAATATATTTATCCACTGGATAAAATTTGTCCCTTGGATAGCGCTATTCGCCCTTCGTACAACCGAGCCCTGATTATTATGTATGTGATAAGGATATAGTCTTGATCATCTGAACGTATCATCTACAGACCATATGGGGAACATATTTATTGATAACAAAGGAAATTATCACCATTCAGATGTAATGGTGTATATAGAAAAGATTGTGTTTTTTGATCAATTTTAATCTGGTATGAGAACCCATTTTTGAAACGTTGGATGATTATGCAAAAAAAACACAAATATGCTGGAATATATATATAGTATTGTTTGTTTGTCTTTCTTTTATGGGTAAAGGTGAGATATAAGATAAAATATATTTATTTTTTTCCGGTCCGGTATCCTAAACATTAGTGCRTTCTGATTGGCTGTTTGAGTGGGCGATATTTTGTCAGTATCTGCCCGCGCTTGCGGTCCAGTATCCTTTGCCACTAATCAACAAAACAAAACAAAATGATTACAAAAACAAGTAAAACAAATACGTGAAAAAAATTTATTTACCGTCCTATAGTCAGTGCGGATAGGGGAAACTGTGCCCTCTGTCTTGAAAATGGCCTCGGATCTATATACTCAAGAACTCGGGCACAGTTTTTCCTAACCGGACCTCCGGTCAGTAAATAACATATTATATTTATTAGTTAGTAAAGTAAGTATAGAAAAATTTATCTTTTTGTTCACTCATTTCTTTGGGAATATACTCTGCAAACGTTACTTTTTCATTTACGTTTTGATCATACTACATTGGTCTTTTTCAGGATCTGTAACATTTTCAGAGCATATTACCAAAAAAATGAGTGAGCGAAATGAACAACTCCTGCGAAAACAAAGTTTCAGACATACGATAAGAGATATTTATAATTTTAAAGTAGTTGAGAGAAACTCAGAAAAAAATCAGAGTTCCTGATAGTTCCTTTCGGCTAGTGACAAATGATAAATGATATATATTTAACAAATAGACATCAGTTTTTTATGTGTCTGTCCTCTTATTGATGATAAATAGTGTTTCATATTGTCAAAGTAGTGTAGATCCACGAGGTGTAGAAGAGTGGATCCGCATACTACTTTGACAATGTAATGACGAAATTTATCATCAATAAGAGGACAGACACATAAAAAACTGATGTCTATTTGTTTTTTTACAATAACAAAAATGATAAAAATAGTACACGCTCGTTGATGTCAGCTTTCTGTCCTCTTATTTACGATAAAAAAGAGAAATTTGTAAGTTATTGTAAAAATAAATATGTATGTACAATTCTAATAATACGTATGATACACCACTGTACGTTTACCATTATATACTGCATAAATTAGCTCCTATAAAGTCCTATATTATCATTCAAACTGATGAAGCGTTAACAAGCAAAACATCTGATTAAATTCTAACATCTAGCTTTTGCGTCAAGAAGTCATTACACTATAGTACATATATATGTATATGTAAAAGTTCACTTAATCTTTTATGCCTTTCTTGTAAATATTCTTAATGATTTCCTTGTTTCTACTTTACCAGGGTTTTGGACAACAGTTCTCTGCTCCAGTTTCGATGTCTGGAAACGTACAACAACACTCTCTTACTTCCCCGATGGGACAGCAAGGGACTCGCTTTCACGCAATGAGTCCAAGTCAAATGGTTCCTCAGAGCTCGGTTGTATCTATGATGCAACCAGACTTAATGAGCTCCCAGTATTCCCAACCTTCGACGTCATACAGCGATAGTAATTATCAGACCTTTCAGGATTATTCAAGTCAACAGCGAATGGCCCATTCGCAGGCCACGTCACCCATGGGTATGTTTCAGAATTATGGACAAAATGGCAGCTTTATGGGGAGTATGGGCCAATATGGTGGACAAAATAGAGTCATGGGACACCAAGGAGGCATGTCGAATCAATATCCTACTTCCACTAGCGCTGTTAATTATGGAAATGCGAATTATTATTCTGAGGTTTATCCCTCGGTACCACCAAAATCCCCTGTGTCACACCAGCAAATGCCAGGAAGTGGTTATACGATGCCAGTCGGTGGCAATGGAGGATCGTACCCAGGGAGTGGGTATGCAGGACAGTCGTCAATGTCTCCCATGCAGAAACAAATGGGACAGTCGTTCTTTTCTCCCAGATCACCTGCTGCTAGTCAAATTCATTCGTCACCTAATGTCACTGGGAACTATCCTGGACAACCACCCACATCTCCCATGGCACAACCTCTCGTTGGCCATGCGCGGAGGTCCTCCACGTCACCTGTTTCACCAATGATGCCACAGGGTATGCCAGTTTACAGCATGCCCCAACGACAGCAGCAGTATACACCAACTTCAAGCACTACCACACAGAGTCAGCTACAAAGATCTTGTATGTTTGCTCAGCGACTAGAGAAAATGTCTGCCCAGCACCAATACCAAGCACAGATGGGGTCAACAACTACCCTTCCTGGACCTACGAGTACTAACAGTAGAAGACCATCATTTCCTGGACAACAGACTCCTCTTCCAGGAAAACCTCCTATGAAAAGTCCAACTGGTTCAGTATCACCAGCTCGCCACTCACCACCATCACTTGGCAAGTCTCCACCGCCATTCAAACCTCTAAGGTCGCCTCCCCCTTATCAAGCAAAGAAATCGCCACCATCATTTCAAACTCCTTTGAAACCAGTTCCTTATTCTCCTCAGGGAAAGAGTGATACACATAAAGAACAGATGACATCTGGTGCTAATGAAATCACAACTATGAAAAAAGCAAAGAAAAGTAAAGCCGAAAAATCCAGTATGCAGAAACTAGAAGAAGTGGCTGAAAAAGTTTCACCGCATCTAGCGGAGGAGTTGTCTCACGCCGTAGGAGATGCAATAGAGAGAAAACAAATGAAAAAGAAAAATGATACAAAAAGTGATGATAATGAGCAAGAAAACTCTGCGGCTGAAGTAAAAACATTAACCTCTACCCTAGAAGACTCTTCAAAGACCAAGAAAGAAGAGAGTAAAGATCAAGCGCTGGAAGGGAAAATTTCTGAAAGTTCTAACAATGAAAAGGAAGGGAAAGACGAAGAATGCAAAAACAAAGCTGATGAAAGTAAAATAGAAATAAAAGATTCTGAAGTGAGTAGGGTTGAAGAAGAGAAGAACGTTCTAACTGATGATAAAGAGAAGGTCAGCAATACTGAAACAGTGCAGAACAAAGGGAAATTGAATCAAGAAAATGGTGAAAGGCAGAAGAAGGACAAGGTAGTTGAAAAACAAACAGAAAACAAAATTGAAAAAGTGGCAGAAAATGCTGAAAAAGAAGTTGAAAACGAGATTGAAAGAGCAGAAGTGGAAGATATAAAGGGAAAACAGATTGAAAGTGTTAATGGGAAAGAGGATGAAACTAAGAATGAAAATCAAGACACAGATGCAGACAAAACAAGTGAAAAAACAATTCTGGACAATGCAAAAACAGCAAAAGAAGAAAGCACAGAAATGCAGGAGACCAGTAAAATAGAATCAAGTAAAGAAACAAAGATTCAAGTTGAAAAAATCGTAATAGACTCCAAGCCAGTCAAGTCTTCTCCATCAGAGAAGTCCCCACAGCATGAAGGAGAACTGTCCAAAGACGTAAACATGGCTACAATTAGTAAAACGCAAGTGAAACAATCAGTCAGTATATCGAGGAGTGGACATACACCCACCATTCAAGCGACTGTCATTGCTAAGGGTCAGTCAGCACATTCCAATCAACAGGTCCTTGTTGCTAAGACAGCAGGGGGGCAGATGTACTTGATACAGGGGAATGTATTGATTCCTGTGCAGAACATCACAGTACAGCAGCCGAAAGGAGAGAAGGGGAATAAAGTCATCTGCGTCAATCAAGGTCAAGGGAAGTCATCACATGTCATGGTGGGAAACATAACTCCTAATCTCCAAAAAGAAACCACTCATAAAGCACTCAAGAGTAAAGAATATGTTGGTGAAGACGATGATGATGACTTGGATAATGAAATTGATGAGAAAATGGAAATTGATTTGGCTTGTCGAGAGAAAACTTTACTTTCACCTACAGCAGAAATGACTGAAAATGATATCTTGCAAGAACCAAACACCTCAACCGTATCTATTCAGACTGAAAAGCAGATAATTAAAACCAAGGCTGGATTCCAGAGGGTTAAGAATACTACAGAAACTACTAAGTCAGGACTCTCTTCTATTGACAATGTTTCAAATATTGCTATGAAAAAAGAAAAAGAACTGTTTGGGTTTGAAGAAATGGGAGAAAGTTCTTCAGAGTTGAGAAAACGAATTGGTCGGCCACCTGGAAGCAAGGACAAGAACAAGAGAAGGCCATATATGTACAAAAAAATACAACCAATCGAACACCAAGTACCAAAACAAAATCCTTCCTCTACCACAACTAAAAGTCCAAGCAAAGAAAAATATATTTCGGAAACAAGATCCCACAAAAGACCACATTCAATTAATGTTCCAACTGTAAGCAAAGCAACTAAAAACAATTCTAAAAGACCTAAAATAACTCCCCCACCCATCTCCCCCACAAAAACCCTTTTGGTACAGCCGAGAGGAGGGGTAGATGGCGATGCATGGGTGTGTGCATTTTGCGGCAAACCATCAAACCATAACTCTCTCGGCATATTATATGGACCTTATAAGGCTAAACTTTCGCGTGATATATCTGATAAAGACTGTCGTTCACCGGACAAGGTCATGTCACCCGGCAGTAGATTACCAGAATTACCGACAGATTTAGAAGGAAGTTCTGTTGAGCTTTGGATACATAAAGACTGTGGGGTGTGGTCACAGGGGGTTTACATGCTTGGTAGGACATTATATGGCCTTGAACAAGCCGTGGAAAGTGCAGCATCTCATGTAAGTTGACTTTAGTGTCTTTTTTCTTTCTGTTCAAACTGTTAGTTAGCCATGCCCTGACTTTAATCAGCCTTAAGGCTATTTCAGAGTTTGACCTGTGAGCTAGCCGTGCCCTGACTTTGACCAGCCCAGAGGTTGTTTCATGGTTCAATGTGTGAGTTAGCCATGCCCTGACTTTGACCAGCCCAGAGGTTGTTTCAGGGTTCAATGTGTGAGTTAGCCATGCCCTGACTTAGATCAGCCCAGAGGTTGTTTCAGGGTTCAATGTGTGAGTTAGCCATGCCCTGAATTTGATCATTCCAAAGGTTGTTTCATGGTTCAATTCGAGTTGGCTGTGCCTCTGATCAGCCTTAAGGCTGTTTCAGAGTTCAATAAAATTTAAAGTTTTATTTAAGGAAGTTAATAATTCTTTTCTCCCATACATTAGAACTGTTCTACATGTACAGAGTTAGGAGCAACGCTACAGTGCTTTAAAAGAGGATGTACTTCAATATTCCATTTTGCTTGTGCACGCGATTCAGGTGAGTTACACATTGGGATAGCAAAACAATCTACCCCTCCCCTATACCTGCGGCCTGTTAGCTCAGTTGGCAAGAGCATTGGTCTGTTTAGCGAGAAGTCTTGGTTCAAGCCTTGGCTGAACCAACACTGAGGCTGCCTTTGTAATTACATCGGCAAATCTTTAGACCTTCCAGCCTTATTGGACAAGGACTTGAATCTGTAGGCCCAGTCAGTCTTCACCCTGTATAACCCTGTATAAAGGCTGGTTTAGACAGTGCGATTTTCGCCTACAACTATCCTATACAACACGCTTGCGCCATCCTACAACTCTAGTTGTAGCTTGTATATCAAGCCTACAACTCGCCTATGACAGACGTGAGCATGTTGTATACGATAGTTGTAGGCGAAAATCGTACCGTCTAAACTGGCCTTAAGGTAGACATAAAAGAGCCACTGAAGAAGCTATTGACAACCATCTTGTGCTAACACTACAGGGCCTACAGTAATTGGCCACGCTGATTTTGGTGTCCCTTCCCTTGCAGAAAAACAAAATTTATATGTTCCTACCAATCTTTACTTTTACACTATGGTAGCTTTGGACTAGAGCCGTAATGGTTCTTTTTTCCACACAGGTTGTGCATTTATAGAAGATAATTTTACCATATTTTGTTCTGCGCATAAGGTAAGCAAAGTCTTGTAGCCCTAAAGAGATGATTATGGTTAACTCCCTGATGAGGGGCAGTGGAGGAAAGTCAACATTCTCATCATCATCAAATCACCATCATCATCGCTAATCACCACCACCACAAGTATGGAAGTGGCCCAGCTCAATGGCAACTGAAAAGTATATGAAGGTGCCCCTGGCAGCCACTATACAGTCCACTTATGACCCCGGGGCACAGCCTAACCAGTTTGAATTAGTTAGGGTTGATTTGAGAGGATGGAGGAAAATCCCTCAGAGTCAGAAAGAGAAGCAACCAACTCAGCTGACATGGGGTGACTCAAACCCCGGACCTCAGAGGTGATAGGCACACCACCACATCATCCTGATTCCGTTGAAATACATTCATTCAAACCCTCCCCCAACCTCTAAAGGGTGTGGTTGTTTGCCTCTAGTCTTCCCATTATCCTCTGATTATGGTACCACCACCTTACGTTAGACCTCTTTACCTTGTTTTCCCATTTCAGACCATGTGTAAATAATCTCTTGACAACAAGATTCTTTGTTTAAGTTGTATCCATATTCATGTGTCTTCTTGTATGCAACCGTTAAACAAAGAAGTAATACTCAAGGGAATGACATGTGGTATGAAATGGAGGTCTATTTCTCAAGAATCTAACAGGCATCTTTTTATTGTTATGTTTCAGTAAGAAAACACAGTATTTCAGTGTCTTATTTGTAAAGTTTATACAAAGTTCTGGCTTCGCTTGCTTCTTGATGTGTTTTGCATGTATGTAGTGATTAACAGCTTCCTGGCTCGTAATTCATATGTACATACTGGTGACATAGTGAGTAAAGCTCGTATGAATGGGAGAGTTTAGAGTTGTGTATCTGTATTACAACACACTTGTTCAAGGAGATCCTATGATCGCACGTAAGTTTAGTCTGGATCTCCTGCTGAAAAAAATAGCCTGACTTCACAGTAACAATACGTTCTTTTGGTGGCTATTTTAGAAGTGTTTTATTGTACCTTATGTAGTGTCGTATGTAACACAATGCACGAAGTGTTTGTCTGAGATAGCGAACAATGATGCATTCTGGTCAAGCTTGGTTGCAGGCACATATTGCCATGGTGTTTTATGTAGCCATGGTATAATAGAATGATTGTATAGTGTTTTGTGAACATGGTGTATGCTGGTCTAGCTTGGGTGCAGGCATATATTTTCCGTCTTGCCATGGTGTTTTATGTAGCCATGGTATAATAGAATGCCTTGTATAGTGTTTTGTGAAATAAAGAACATGTTGCATGCTGTTCTAGCTTGGGTTCAAGTACCTATGATTTATTGTGATTTGAATACGATGTTGTGTGTAGCTAGACCGACACGAGTGAAAAACGTCTGCGCATGCTCTGAATCCGTATGTAAATTAGTCAAAACATATGTAAATTTGACTTTCAAACATGCCTGATAAATTAGACTTAACAAAATGCAAAAACTTCGTCTCCATGCTTGAAACTTAAGGCAAATTCCTCCATATTGTGTTTGTTAATACAGTCTCTTGGTCTGATAAAAGTGTACTCGCGAAATTTTTTTTGTATACAGGGAGAAAACAAACATTTATTTTCTCACTCAATCTCATCAAAATGCTTAGAAAACGTGCAGAAAAGCGCGCATGCGCTAACGTTTTTCTCTAGTGTCAGCTAGACCAGTATGCACCATGGTTGTTGCTCTAAAAAAAGGCCTATACCATGTATGTGAAAGTCCGTTCCCCATAATGAGTTGCAAGCAAACATTACCTTGCATTCAAATGGCTTTTTAATCCAAGCACCTTGATTGGTTGGTGTATACTGATTTTTCTGTAGTTGGATTGCTTCATTGTAAAAGCCATGGTACTTTTTCTTATTTAAAATCTTCACTATACTGTGATTCGTCAGGTATCCATTCTCGTACCCAAACCCTTCTCAGCTTTCTAACTTAAAAGGTTTGGGTACGAGAATAGTCAGATGTTCAAAAAATGCTCGTAAAAAAGTCAGTTTCCACTCATACGAAAATAATATCAAGTCGTTAGTGTCAGTTTGTGCTTTTTATATATGTTGCTCCATTTTGTTGTTTTGTTTTATTTTTATCTGAAGGTAAAGTCGTTATTGTGTTGTTTCAATTTGGCTTGATTAAAGTGCTTCACGCAAAGAAATACAATTCAGTATTTTTCCAGTTCCTGCCTGGCTTTTTGGTTCCTCTTATTTCCACTGTTGGAAACACAATTCCTAAATATCTATACATATTATATCAATAATTATTATATATATTTGATAATAAATCACTATTGAAGAGAATCTGGAATATCTTAGTGTTACTTCATAATTGGTTCAAGTTATTATCCAATTAGATAGCACTATACTGGTCACGTGGTCATTTCCCGCCACATTGGATAGACTTTGTAAACGCGTCGCTCTTGAGAGATTGTATTCGTTCTAAATATGACATTAGTCATTAATTACTCAAGCAGTGGAGTGGGGAGGGGAAAAGAGACTCTGGAGACTCTCCTCTGTCCATTGAGTTGATACGCAGGCCACTTTGGCCGTGCCAATACACCTAAGTCCAATGTGGCGCACGGCTGAGTGTGTTACACGAAAACCAAGCATCCAGGGCCAAATGCAAAAAACAATATAGTGTCAGTGGAAAGTATACACTTGTTCAGTTGTTCTGTCTTTCTTTTCTTCTTACATTTAGGATAGCGAAAAGTTTGCAGCATGAAATTATAAGAAAATACTGTAAATTTGGCCCTGGATGCCTCGTTTTCAACCGGCCGTGCGCCATTTTGGACTTAGGTGTATGGGAAGAAGTCAAAACTCGCAGACAGAATCATCTGATTATCAAATCTAGGTTTTGAAGATCGACATTCGATTTCGGTTTACCATTTGAATAGACTACAAAATCAGAGATGAATAGAGGACATAGACCAATAGATATACCACGGTATGAAACTTCTTAACATCTTTAATAAAACTTTATAATTTATTTTTATTTTAAGTATATATGTACAGTATATTTTGTACAGTTGAGAGGCGATAATTTTTTACCCTTGCTGTGTGCCGTGAATTACGAACCTCTACTGCATAGGATTGTGGGCTTGAATTCAACGAAAATATGTAAAAGCTACGCAGCCTCGCCTCTACATTCAATCCCACAATCCAACGCGTGATGCGTTTATTACCAGTCTTCATACATGTTTTGGAAAGTCGAATTCTTGAACAAGGCACAGCTATGTGTAAGTAATTTACCGTATATTCACAGTAATATAATCTTTTCTAGGACCACCTGAAGTTCCTTTTTACAGTCGAATAGAATTGCTTGTTGTATGGTTGATAAAAACGTCTAAGGAGTTCCAACGTCGTTCGTTTTATGTCAGCATGTTTTCTTCCCTTGTTGGAAGGCAGACAGTACGACACATTCACCGCAGGGTCGGGCAAAAAACAGGGAAATCCTTTGGATTTATTAATCCTAAAATTCCTATCCGTAAAAAATGGACTCAGCTCTAAAAACTTTTCCACAGATTTGATCTCCTCCAGTGGATTTTTTGCTAACTCTTCGCCGCTCACAAAGTGTATCTCACTTTCTAAGAAATATTCCAGCCACTTTTTAAGATGTTTGTCATACAATCCTATTTTAACTAGTTCAGAATCAGCATTGACGGTACCGTTGTCGTGCAAAATAAGTTTTTCGATGTCATCAACGGCTGGTATTTCATTCTTTTTGCTTCTAGCAACCATGTCGGTGTATTCAGACACACACCTCTTAACTGGGTCACGAACGACCACTATCAACTTCAATCTCTCCGCCATTGATCTCGAAAATATGAACATTCTGTTTACAACTTGAGTGTTCTGGACGCTAGTGAAGTAAGTAGGGCTTTTCTCGATAGTCATTTGTCCCGGGGAGGACACGGGCATTTGTTGTCGGTACCATTCCAACCCTTTGGTGTGGTAACCATTGAAGAAGTACACCTCATTTGAGGCACCTATTACGTTGGGGTGCATTCTAAGGATCTCTAAGAGGGCCCTAGTGCCAGCCTTCTTGACGCCAAGGATTATCGCTGTTGGAAATCTTTTCCTCATTTCTCCGACGCCTGCTTTGATCTTTTTGCTTAGAAAATCTGTAAAGGAAAAAATTATATTCTTGAATCAGTCTCCATGGAGTATTCATTCGTTCTCTGGGAGATTGTCAAGAAATCACTAATAAGAACCAGAATAAGATTTTTGCATAGCGGCTTTCTTGATCGACAAAGTCCAACAGTTCCCAGATGCTTGGTACCTTAATGCACCGTTTTGTCGCGCTTATTGGTCGCGCATGCGCAGAAGGTCAAAACTTCTCTTGGGCGAGAGCTCCCGTAGACAGGTTGAATCTATACGCATGCTCTGCGTTTTTGCATTTCGCTGACCAAAGCCAGCGCAGGCTCTGGAGTACAAGACTCGCTCCTACTCTCTCTCGGCCCTAACCTGACATAAGGAAGGTCCCGCCACTTTAGAACTAGTATTAATAGTGCGATTAACTGATAATCACTAAATGATTTCCGCTCTTGACAAAGATCACCAAATGTTCAAACATGTTTTTCGTTAGCCAATCAAAATTGGCGACACAGGGAGACCAATTCATATTCCTTCAAAAATCAGTAGGCTTTCGTCACGTACTGATAAGACAAAGCGCCCCTTTGTCTCTATTCTCTACTTTGAACAACTAAACATGTCATATGTGATAGATATCAGCTCGCAAATTGAAAATTTGTATATACAGTTTTTGGAAGTTTTTCAAATAGGTCGAGTGGAGGAGTGATAATGAACGGTTCGCGATGCAAGTTTGAGTTCGACGTAAACTTCAGTAGTTGATCAGCATTGAAAAGTACAATGCATTCAAAGTCTAAGCTACTAGTAGAGTTTATCCACTTTGACTTTTAATAAATCCGTTCTTACTACACTTCTTCAAACTTTACGAACTTATTTTCTTGTATTGGTAAATTGATTTGTGGGTACTTTTTAAAAATCTTTTTAAAGTTATTATAACTTCACTAATAAATTGAGGTAAAATAAACTGAGGCTTTATAATTTAGTAATAACTTCTAAATTATATGTTATAGTACAGTATATGCACGAGTATCGTGCAGCATCACATTCTGGATTATCATGGATCATTAGACCCTCAAAATCCCATACAATAATCGCTGTACTCATAAAAGCTACAAAGGATCCGAAGTATTTGCTAAGTTACCGAAGTTTCTTAAAAATTAGAATAATATCAATTAATCTTCATCAAGTTTTGTCACGATGTGTCATCTTTTAAACGCTTTTTTGTGAAGAGCCATAGAGCGTGAAATTAAGTTAACTTAGCGTGAATTTTCTAGACACTTTGAAAACAATATGACATTTAGAAAGAAAACTAAAGATTTTAAAATCTTAAATCAACATTCGATTCCACTCACCTCGACTAACTGTTGTTTTTTCTTTATAATGTTTTACTTGCGATAAAGGAACTTTAATAGGATGTTGAAGCGAAATGATTTGAAGTGTATCTCTGTTCTCTTTCCTTTCGTAGTCATTAGTTCCTTGTGGATTATAAACCAGTTTTGATTCCTGTAGATATTTCGAAGTTTTTTGAAGAATGGAGGTCTTTTCTGGTGAATCAAAGTTTAAGTCACTTCCTGTTGCATCGATGCTCTTGCGATTGCTGTCTCCAAATTGTAATTTTTGTAAGGGAAAAGCGAAGAGAAATAGCGCCAATCCGAACAACAAAACGATCGATAAAGACTTCTTCCTCCGAAGTGTCATTGTTGGTCCAACCTCATTGAATATTTCGCCCAAGTTTTTGGTTTAAAAACTAAGAACCAAAACAATCTCAGGTATTCGTCTCGTCTGCTGCGGCCAGTACAATAACGATTCAGTGATCTTTGAAGTTTCTTGAAGTTACTAAACTTTCATTGTCGCCTGTAATCTAACGCCATCGAAATACTTTTGCCCTCAAGATATTTGGCAGAACTGCGTGGCACCATCTTACATCTATTGTGTTTTTATATCGATTCTAAATTAAGGAATTTTTGACCCAAATGATAGTACAATGTCATCGCGCGTGGTGTTCCAAAGGAAACAACACCTAACCAAACTTAAGTGAAAACTGCTTGGCTTTTATGTTAATTTTAGAGGCGATTGAATACCTGAGCATAATAAGATACGGTTCATTGGCTGTTTCTAGGTTACTTCATGAGCAATCGAGTAATTTCCTTATGACACCATTATATTAGTCATGACTGGACCGGGTCTGAATACACAGGTATGACCCCGTCATATGGCCTGAAACCTGAAACCAAAAACCCGCCAAAAAAGCTTCAAAAACTTTTCTTACCGCTACCAAACTGATAATGAACAATTGTTCCTCTGTGTTATATTCATTAATACAAGGAAATTAAATAAATAAAGAATGAGTTTTGAAACCTAGAAAAGTTACGTCAAGTACCGATAATCAGTGAATATTTGAATCGAAGTTAAAGTTCAGGGACAGGTTTTTTCATGTTCCTTTAAGTCGGTCTGCAATTGTGACACTTCAACCGTGAGTGGATTTTAACTGCTAAAATGTGACGAGATATTGGATATCTTAATTAACTTATTAATAAAACCGCAGCAGGACACGAAGTCCCTGGAAACAAGATGTTAGAGGAAATGATGTCTGGGTCCAGTTATTTGTTTGGTTAGAGGACATGTAGTTGTGGCATGTAGGTGACTGCACCCAGGATATTCGTTTCTCATTTTGCAAAACAAAGTCGGTTTAATCACCGTTACATTTGCCGAAACACGTTGGGCATAGAATTTGGGGAAGGATACGAAATTATGACAAACAAGAGGTTTACAGAAGATAATGAGCCGAACTGAAAAAGAACGAGACTCGGAAGCAGGAGAACAAGATGAAGATGACGATGATGATGATGCACTGTTGACAAAAAGCAGAAAGACAAAGGAAAAGAAGAAGGAAAGTTAGGCGGCCCATAAGAAACATGCAGGTGATTAAAGTTATGAACGAATTGCTTCAAATAAGAAACGACTTGCTGCGTTGCATGTTAGTCAAGTTAGTGTACGTTAGACGAGTTGCTACAAATGAGAAACGAGTTGCTGCATGTTAGACGAGTTGCTACAAATGAGAAACGAGTTGCTGCATGTTAGACGAATTGCTGCAAATGAGCGAGAAACGAGTTGCTGCATGATAGACGAGTTGCTGTATGATAGACGAGTTGATACAAATGAGAAACGAGTTGTTGCATGTTAGACGAGTTGCTGTATGTTAGACGAGTTGCTGCGAATGAGAAACGAGTTGCTGTATGTTAGACGAGTTGCTGCATGTTAGACGAGTTGCTGCAAATGAGAAACGAGTTGCTGCACTGCTAGAAGAGTTGCTACAAATGAAAAACGAGTTGCTGTATGTTAGACGAGTTGCTGCAAATGAGAAACGAGTCGCTGTATGTTAGACGAGTTGCTGCAAATGAGAAACGAGTTGCTGCATGTTAGACGAGTTGCTGCATGTTAGACGAGTTGCTGCATGATAGACGAGTTGCTGCATGTTAGACAAGTTGCTGCATGATAGACGAGTTGCTGCATGCTTAATAAAGTTTCATTTGCTCCGTGTTTTTCTTTCCTCGGTACAGAATACTACTATCTTTAATTCGTGGCACTTTCCCTCTTTTACAGACTGCCAGGCACGGATTATTAAATGTCCGGTAGTTGATTTTAAACGATTACATCACATTGGTGATGTTTGTAACCACGAACTAGCGTAGCCTCCTTCGCAGACATTTTTAGGGTCCTAACAACGTCTGCGAACTGAGCAGGCTAGAACTAGGTATTCCGAGGTCGAGGAGCGAAAACTGGGTCGAGTTGGCATTGCAGTGCATTATGGGGCTGTTTTATGGAACAGGTTTCTAAGATGGGAAGATGGGTAGTTCGTTCATGTTCAAGAAACAATAGAAAAACAATAAAAGACAAGACGATGCATACAATATAAAACAATACATTATTATACAATATATGCATTGTATTCTTCTAGAACATGAGCTTATTACCCTAAGATGGCATTATACGACACTTGCACTGTGTCGCCATTAACTACGACTACCAGAATCCCTTGCACACTTTATTTTGTTCCGTTAATTAGCACCAATTGTCTTACTATTTTCATGAGGAAATACGAATTTGAATAAGCAAGAAAATTCGCGAGGCATTTTGTATGGTAGTGGTAGTAAATTGACGCCATCATGCAAAAGTGCTACTCATTGTTTTTACAAGGAAAAACAATTTTGAATACAATTCTTTGCGGAAGAAGAAAAATTGTATAATAAATCCGTCTCCAAGGAGAAATGGATGAGATTCGCTGAGTTGGTCGTAACATCCAAGATATCTAGCCGAACTGTAACGAAAACCGCTTCATTTCAACGAGAATAATTCATCTAAATAAGAAGGAAAGCGCGCGAGTGTCGAAGTAAGCGAAGCAGAGAGTTTCACTTTTCTATAACCCGGCCGTTTACTTTCAGTTTCCTGTAATCACCAAAATTTGTCTAAATTTTTCTGAAATAAATTTTTATTTCTTTTCAATGCGCCTTGATTATAGTTCTTAAAATAAGGTTAGCATTTCTTTCGTGAAAAGCCGGCGTATCGCTAAATCAAAGCTCTTCCTAGTGAGGTTGAGAAGCACTCATCCATAAGTATGTGGTTAGTTGGTCGATAAGAATATAGTATCTTATTTAGATAGAAAAATTATTTTATTATTAATGCATGATTCCAAGGGAAAATGTTGATAGTTTGAGCAAGATATAAAAACATGAAAAGGGTAAAACGTTAGTAAATTTTTATTTTTTTCCCAAGTTCATCCGGAATAAAAATTTGGCTTCTTTAGTTTAGTTTACTTCATATATACGAGGCTCTCATTTACATTGCATGTTTTTGAAAAGAAGATATTCTATAGTTTAGTTTTAGCTACATTAGAGTGATTTATAGTTTATTTTCTTTTACAGCAGGTAAGTATCAAACTCAATTTAGAACTTAAGTTGGGATATATTCTGGTTTGTCATAGTGCTTGAGTTTCACGTTAAATCAGTCAAACCTCAAGTCCCAAACAAACCATAAAAGAAAACCGACAATCTACGAATATAAATAATAAATCAGTACAATTGTAGCAAAGCGTAAAACAATTTGCTTTCTCAACTTGACATCACCAGGAGAATTTTCGATTAGATACTAAGAAAAATGAAAAAATACCTTGCATGACATATTTGTCATAAATTTTGCATGATTTATTGCTAAATCAGTAATCGGCGAACAACAGGTAGCCAAGTAATAACAGATCGCCTTGTGGCCCCTTACTAGAATCAGGAGAAGAGAAAGATCGAATGAATTCTGCCGGTAAATTTTTTATCTATTCGAGTCTTTGTAATTCATCTCGCAAGTCTAAAGTACGTCTAGAATAGAAAAGTATGGAATATTTTCATTAAGTTTCTGAGTCTTTTAGACGATTTTTATCGGGTGCTGAAAACCTTTGCTCTCTGAGCCGCGCCCTTGAAATTAAGATGTAGCTGCATTTGTCTTCTTTTGAACAAACAAATTTCACATTCTGTTTTTTTTTAACTTAACCACAAAAAAGACGATAATGTCGCTATTTTACTTATCTCTGAGGGTTTAAAAAGTTCTTTTTGATTTCTATCATATATGTTTATTGTTTTTTCTCCTCGTTTGAACACTAAAAAATCCAGTCACAATGATAGTCACTTTCTACGCCTGTAAAAATAGATTTGGTTAGAATTTTTTCAATGCTTTTCAAAGCTATTCTTAACTAAAAACACGAAGCAAAAGAAATATGTATATAAATATTTCGATTTTCAGTGCTTTACTTTAATATTTATATCGACCTTTTAGCTTAAGAAACAGCTAGAAACAGCCCACTTTCTCTTTTCTTTTCGCCTTCAAATGATAACCTAGCACAATAATATTGCATCTTTATACGATCTTTTTATCGAGTCTGACTTCCTGATTCAATATCTAAACCTATAAATCGTAAATGGTTTGCCGCGGTAAAATCTTTGAAAGCGATTTACAGCTGGCATATCGGTACTACAGTACTAAGTTATATTAATCCTCGAAACCTTGAACTAAAATCAAAGAAAGCAGGCTTTACTTAGCTTGCCATGACTTAATTAAAGCCCATTTCTAATAAGAAACTATTATATTTCTTATAGCTATAAAGTGGTTCATAAAATTACGAGGGAATTTTCGATGGTATCTTTGCCGCACAGTTGCTGGGAGATTCAGTATCACCGTCAATTTTAGACCTACTGCGCACAGTGTGATTGTCGCGTCCAAAAACATATTCAATAAGATAAATTCATAAACGTGGCATAAAAGCTCTGGTAGTTATAAAGGGCTGACCTAAAGTCATTAAAAAGAGGTGGTTTTATGCTCATTGTGATAGATCTGTGCTTCACTAAAGCCGTTCGAGTGCTCTGAGTTTAGATTCGTTGACAGATTGACGCGCTAAAGAGCCAATCACAGCGCGTTTATTGTGCCCCTATTTACATACAATTACAGCAACAACTCAGTGGTGCATTTTAAAAAAATTCACAAATGCAAAACTCTGTTGATTGTATTTATTTTCGAAGATTTGAGAGTTTAGAGCGCCTTATCGTGGCTTGATTCACTTAGCTTTATTAACACTGGACTTTGGTATGTGTTCAGCGAGAAATAGGAACAATAAAAAGGGAAGAGAGGCCAAAAGTTTAGTCGTTTTGGCGAAATGTTTGACTTTATGAGATTTACGGATGGATTACCTTGTGCTAAACGAACCTTCGGTGTCCTTGTCGTCCTTGGACTACTGTGTTCGTATATTATCTACGATTTCAGTTCCAGAAAAGGTTATCTAGTCAAGGTCGACAAAATGAAGACGGGGTTAGCCGAGCGAAATTGGTGGAAAACAAGACTTCGCGATTCCAATCGAATTATCGCTGCAAAACCATTAGAATATAAGAACAGTACGCCTACACGATCCATAGACACCTCTAAGGGGTTGAGGAACAAGGAAAAATATGAGTTATCGTCGTCAGGGGATTATGCGAGTACAGATAAGAAGTCGAGCTTACAGAAAATCTCGGATGCTAGAAGTGTTGACAGGAACGATAAACCGAGGCCACATTCAAAAATTTCCGAACATGAATTGATACCAGAGGTCGACAGCCAAGGATTAGCACAAGAAATCACTGAGGACTCTACAGAAAATAGCAAAAAACGCAAAATAAAACGACTACCAAATGCCATAATCATTGGGGTGAAGAAAGGAGGTACACGTGCTTTATTGGAAATTTTAAAAATTCATCCGAGTATCAAGGCATGTAATAGTGAGGTACACTTCTTTGACCGGGACAACAACTATATACGAGGTTTAGAATGGTATAAAAGCCAAATGCCAGAGTCTGTTCCTGGGGAAATAACTATAGAAAAGTCCCCCGCATATTTTGTTACTAGTGAAGTACCAAGAAGAGTTCACAATATGTCAAAGAGTGTTAAATTAATTGTCGTAGTACGCGATCCAACGCGACGAGCCATTTCAGACTACACTCAATCTCTGGCGAAAAAGCCTGACAATTACCCTTTTGAAACGTTTGCAGTTAAAGATTTAAAGAAAGGGATTGTTAATGAAAACTGGATGAAGCTTAAAATAGGTTTATATCATAGTTATTTGGAGAAATGGCTGGAGTATTTTCCTCTGGACCAGATGCACTTCGTAAGCGGAGAGGAACTCATTAAGAACCCGGCGAAGGAAGTGCAACTCGTGGAAAAGTTTCTTAACCTCAAGCCGGTCATAAGTGTTGACAACTTTGTCTTTAACGAAACCAAACGCTTTTACTGTATCGTAGGTAAAAGAACTGTTAACGGAATACAGACAAAACCTAATTGTATGGGAAAGAGTAAAGGTAGAACTCATCCTACAGTATCGCCTGAGGTTTTAAAACTACTGAACAGATATTTCAGACCACACAACTTAAAATTCTACAAGATGGTAAAGCGAGACTTTGGATGGCCGTAGTTTGGATTAGATTTCAGGATAGTGTTATTGATGCTAATGCGTTGAAAAAGGTGTCGAAAGGTTAGTCACGATGAGTGCCTGTCGAGTCGTCTTGTATTTATCGAGCTCCATGTCCCACACATTAGTGACTAAATGTTAACAAAATGTTCGCGAAAACGATTCCATAACACACAAAAATATTCTACAATCAAGGAAACTCCACTAGTCAGTAAAACAGAAACAGTCAACAGAAAAGTATGTTTTAAGAACAAAAGAGTACGATTACAACAACTAGACTAGGGTATTTGATAGTCTATACGCATTCTTATTTACTTTACATAAATTAATTTCTTGACTGACTGCCACTCAGCTATTATATGATTGTAACATGTCCGAATTCCACTCTTACGAAAGAAGTCAATGGAGGTCGTTTTTCTAGACAAGCTGTTTAGGCTGGCTTAAATTGAGAAAGAATCAAAGACAGTTTAGGGCGAAATTCGGGTTGACTACCTAATCATGTTTCGTGAGTTTGTACCTTTCCTAAACGATCATAAATTTCTGTTTGTTTGTCGATTTCATGCTGGTCTTTCCCGGTATGTTGTCGCGATTGCACGAGGTTTAACCCTTGTACTCTGGACGGAAATTCAGGTGTTTTGATAGGCCGTTGAACAACTCGCTGCTAATTCAGAGCTTAGTGTAATCCTTCCGTAAACTTCTCATGGTTACTTTCGAAATATTGTTCATGCAGAGAATATTTTTGAACGACTTTTATAATCCCTGTAGGATTTTATTCAGAATTTAAAAAAACCGAATACAATCTGTCATTTTTATCTCGAAAAGATTGACCCGCTTGAAAATTACGACACGTGAGTAATCTAGTAATCAAACTCTCTCTAATTGCTCCTAAAATGTGCTTTGAACCTTACCGATTAGGATTTTATCTATTTCAATGTCAATCATAAAAACATTTATCGTTAAAAAAAAGGAAATATCCTTTGATCAAAGGTTATCATCTGTCATTTCACCACTTATGGACCAGTTCAGGAAATTAAGACCTAATTGTTTATGCTCAAGATAACTTCAATGTCATGGTCATGTTTACCAAACATTAACAGGAAAAATAAGGAAAAAGACGAATTAGTTTTATAAAAATTGAAAACAAGTTTTACAATAAATAATCATATTTTTCCAGAAGATTAATATCAAAACCAAGCTATTTTTGATAACATGTTAGAACTCAAGTTGTATCATGTACTGACTAATTCTTTAGGGATCAAAAGGTAATATTCAACAAGGGCCATCTCACACCACCCCTCTGATCCTACCCCCCCCCCCCCCCAAATAAGGAGTACAATTGCAAAATGACGCTTAAAATAGGATAGGGTTCCAATGTATTTATATGATAGATAAGCATTTACTATTCAGTAAGTAAAGGTCTTTTCTGCTTTTCCATTTTGATTTTAGATCATGCCTCTCAATCCGCCCTACAAAGGGTAAAGAGAAATAGCCTTTGTATCAGGGTTAGTGTTAGTTTAAAGTTTTTGGGGTAAAGCTACATTTATGATCACCAATAATTGCGAGTTACAGAATTTTGGTTAACCTTTTGCTTGTTTGCCTTTTCATCAGACAACATGGTCGATGAGGAGCCTAACATGTTACATAAGGTAGAGTGACCCTACTGCTAGGACTACCTCTTGTTTTTGGTGTCTCCTGTGGAAAACAAACAAAATAGTTATCCCTAGCACCAGGGTCATCCTAGCTTCATGTGAATGGTCTCTCATAAGGTAGGGTGACCCTACTGCTAGGACTACCTCTTGGTTTGGATATCCCCTGGAGAAAGAAACCAAAAGACTTGTTCCTGGCACTAGGGTCAACCTACTTTCATGTCAATGGGGCCTAAGAGATCATGGGAATTTAGGGGGAATTGACTTTTAATAAAGGACGTATTCATAGAATAAAAAGATATAACTAGCTAAAAACTAGTGTGAGCTGCGTCGGTGTTTCTAATGAAACAGTAATGATGAAAAGGTAAATTATACACCGTGAAAAGATGAAAAAACTTACTGACGTTTCGGACGCTAGTCCTTCATCCNTCAGTAAGTTTTTTCATCTTTTCACGGTGTATAATTTACCTTTTCATCATTACTGTATTCATAGAATACATTTTTACCCTCTTTATACCTCTTCTCTTCTCTGACCTAAACCTCCCATAGGTAGGGGAAAGGTGCAAAAAAATAATTTCTTTTTTTGTCAAGATTGGATTTAGATATATGATGGTGTTAAAAGGGCAGTGTACATGTATCTATTACCTATTTTGAGACTGAGGAAAAAACTGAGGCAAGTTGGCATTGCAGTGCATTGTGAGACTGTTTTAGGGGATGAATCAGATGCCATCTTGGTAAATTGTACCATAAAACAGTCCCGCAACATACCCAGGGATAGCTAGGGATATATATTAAAGATAAATAACCAATGCTCTTCTGATACATTTTTGTGGCTAAACAATTCAATGATTCAGCCCCCAGAGTTGGAAAAAAAATTGTACAGTTTTATATTTAACAGGATACATAATTTATTTTACTCTATATCTCATATTTATTGTAAGGTTGTAAAACTTGTTAGCATATTCTGATCAAGTGAATAATAAATAATTATAATAAAATGATTGCTAGTGTGATCTGTTTGTATTCACATCATATATTTAATTCCAATTTAGTTAGCTCAGCTGGTAAATAAGAGTCAGTCTGTTGTGTGGGAAGTCATGGTTAGAATCCCGGCCAGACTAACACTCATGGGCTTAAAATAACTGAGGAGAAAGTGGTGCCTTTGTAATTTCATCTACAAATGGTTAGACTTTCTAGTTGTTCAGATGACCACTTAAAATGTGATGTGTCTCTCTGCACTTTATCATTACTAACCTATATCAGAGGGAACCCTGGCAGTGACCACCCTCAGTGCCTCACCTAATACTAGTCTGTCAGGCAGAGAGGTGTGGCATTCTCTGCCTGTATTAGCCATTAAGAAAGGAATGATGATGGCTTGCCCAACATGACTCCAGAGGAGACTCAAAGAGAAGATGATGAAGGGGTTGTTTCAGCTCGGTTTTGATAGGATATACATGCAATACATGCAATACAGCATATATCAATTGATATAGCCTATCTCTTTCATTGGCCTTTTCTCTTTACAAATCCCTATCCAAAAGAAGAGGAACTTTCATGTCTTACGAAGGGATGGGAGAGATAGATAAACATTATTCATACAACATGTTATGAAAAACTAAAAAGCAATCACTTTTTTTTAAAGTGCACCTACACCCTATTTTTTTCTGATCTGGAGTAAAACTTTAAGGCACAAAAAGCAGATTTGTGGAAAAATTTTTTAGATCCATCAAAACGGGAATTTTTGGTGCTCTGTCAAAGATTGAAAAATTGACCATTTTAGCCGAAGTAAGTGAACCATG